TGCTCACCACCCGATGACCAAGGCTCAACTCATTTCTGGCTAACAATCCTGGAGCAGGGAGAGTCCTAAAACTCTAATTCCAGAAAAGAGATGACAGACTGAAAGCTGACCCCGAGAGACAGGGGGGTGACCCCCAGAGAGAGATCTTCCTAACAGATCCTCGTCTATATGCTGGGCGTGATGTGCACAATGTGGAATATGCTTTTGGACAATTTAGCTCTCAGTTCTAAACCTAAGGTCAAGCCCTAGGCTAGTATTTGGGGCTGTGCTTCCTCCCAGCTTCTCCTGCCTCTGCAGACACTGGCACAGCATGAAGCCAAAAAGTCTTTAACTGACTGTCCTGGCAGCAGCTATAAACATCACAATGTTATCAGCCACCTTCTCAGCACAACTCCAAAACACAGCCTCACACTAGCTACTATGAAGAAAGTTAACTCTGTCACAGCCCAAACCAGGACAGACGGCCTTTTGTGTGTTGCATTTTTGTACTGCTTGCACCAAGGACAATGAGCATAGGAAGTGATTGTAAAATGGAGAGTCATAAAAAGGAGTTATCCAAACCATAAAACCTCAGGTGTGATTCTTTATAGAAGCAGCACCGTCAGTCAGAACTGTAGATCTTACAGCTTGTTCAGCCCCAATAGGTAGTTGTTAAACTACAATTAATAAAAGTACATTTCTGTATATAACTGTGCAACACTTGTTTTGGTTTTCAATTAATATTTAAAATGCATTAGTTCTGTCTATTTGAAAGTACGTTTGGCTGTTTCTTTATGTCATAAATGGCATTCGGTGTTCTGGTTTTCTGCAGAGTTGGGAACGATGACAGCTTAATACACACTTGGAAATTCCTATCGCAGTCAACAGACTCCTTACATAAAATCAGCCGGGTGAATGAATCCACGGAGTCACTGGTTGACGAAGGTAAGAGATCCCCATGGCATTTATAGCAACAGGAAGGTCTCAGTGCTGCTTTCCAGAAATAGGAAAAATGTTTTCCTTTCAAATGGACAGTTAAAGTGCATTTACTTTAATTTTAGAGTATTAGTATGGTAAACTTAAAACAAAGCCCCACATAATAATTTTGTTAGCTTGTTGAGTTGTGAGAAAACGTGTGGAAAGTTTCAGTTGCAGTTGAGTTACTTGCAATTTAGCTCAGGGACAAGCATTTCCTCTTTCATTCTGCATTTCTGACCCATTCATACAGTCACAGATTTTGCACTCTGTCACCTTTTTCATGCTGATGCATTGCGTTTTTTCTTTCCCGAGTGAGGAAGGAAGAAACATATTGTTTAGTTTAGTGGGTTTGAAAGTGATGTCAGTTACATTAGTTTCTTAAGTTTAAATATTTTTATATGGGTTTTTTAGGATATAATCAGTATTTTTACATCTTAGCCAATATTCACCTGGAAAGAGCAGAATGGTCTTAATTTATTAAGGACTAAACAAGGACATGCTCGTGGTGACAAGAAAATTTCTCGGTTCCTGCACAAATGAGCAATCTCTCTTAAAGATACATATGTGCGTATGTAATGTATGTAGTGCTCACTTCTACCTGCATCAGTTCTGGCTTTCTAAGCTTGAAAACAGACTTTACATAGGTCTATAGGTCTAAGTTCCCTCGATTCACTGATGCAAATGAAGGAAGACAAACTGGGTGTTGGTTTTTTTTTTATTTATCTGCAATGTTGCAATGAATCCTTTGTCTTTTATCTGAGCTAGAATTTGGTCTATGTGAGTGATGAGCTAGTTTTGTGCCACTAGCAAATAACCTTTAAAAATGTTTTTCATAACCTGGTCCTTAGGGGTTACAATTCCATTTTTGTGTCAGTAAAGGAGAATATGTGTGATGTCTGTGGTATGACAAAGAAAGTCTAAACCTAAATTAATAGAAAGGAATCTCAAATGGGACAAGTTGCTCACATCTTAATGGCACTTCCATTGCTTTGTGAAGGTGCGGACATGAACGAAGGACAGCTGATGGGAGACCTGGAATTAGATTCCAAGCAGCTGGAGGCAGAGTCCTGGAGCCAAGTAGTGGACAGCAAGTTCCTACAGCAGCAAAACAAAGATGTTGTCAAACGGCAAGATGTCATTTACGGTGAGATCCCCGCATCTTAATTTTTCACTCATTGTAGGTAGCTTCTTGATGTACTCATGCATGGATTTGGGTAGCTTTAGGTCAGTGAATAGGAACACTTACTTGGATTCTTCAGAAGCCAATTTCATTCTTGAAGTTCTTAGAAACATAATGTATTCTGTGAAAGCTTTCTTTCTGTATTTCACGTATCCAGAAGACATTAAAAAAAAAAAAAAGCCCAGAAATTGCCTCTCCTCATTTTTCTGCTGAAGACGTTCAAACTCTGTTACAGCAGAGCAGCTAGTTAGGAAGTCTTCTCCTGCCAGATGCAAGAGCCATCCTGTCTGGCAAAAGCACACTGTGTTGAGGCTGGCAGTGAGGTGTTAGGAAGGAGCAGATAGCAGTGCTGAAGGTTCAGACCTCAGCAGCAGTGTCCAAAGCTCTTTAGTGTGGGACAACTCTGCCCACCTATTTCTCCCACACATGAAACAATTGATTCATTTTCCAATACCCAACATGAAATTTTCTGAAGCTACTTAGAGAAGCCCAGTTATGGAAGAGCTTGCTACTGGCAGCTTTTCCTTGTACTGTACACTCATGCACTCTCCAGTGACCTTGCTTTTGACCTTGTCTTCATCATATACAGAGTTAATGCAAACAGAAATGCATCATGTCCGCACCCTGAAGATCATGAATGATGTATACAGCGCAGGGATGCTAAAGGAACTACAGTATGATCAACAAGTTGTAGACAAGATCTTTCCCTGCCTGGAAAACTTGCTGCACATCCACAGTCACTTCTTCCAGCGGATTCTGGAAAGGAAAAAGGAGTCATTGGCAGACAAAAGTGAAAAGAACTTTGTTATCAAGAGGATAGGTGACATCCTAGTGAATCAAGTAAGTACTGGAAAGTCCTTGCACTTCTGAGAGCACAGCTGGAAAGCAGGCACTCTTCCTTCCCTCCTGTTTATGCTTGTTAGATAATCACAGCTGATGGTACTTTTACTCTTCACATGTGTAAAAATCTCAGCCTCTGCTTTTTGAACCACTTTTTGGTCTTTCAGAGGAAGGTCTAATGATGAAAATTAATTTAGTTTATTTTGTGGGAAAGAGAAGCATTCCCTGACAGGCACTGAATGGTTTGACCACAGCCTGGAGGGTAGGCAGTAGCCCACAGCAAAATATGCCCAATGTGTTTCTTGGCTGACTTACTGACCTGCTATTTAACTTCGGGTGGGTCATTTTACTTGTCTTTATCTGGTGCTTTCTCCCTTCCTTTTGTCTGTCTTGACTTTTTTGTGGTTGGCTTTTAAGCCCTGTGAGTAGAATCCCAAATTTTGCACCAAGTGTGAATTCAGTGAAGTCCCGAGCTCAGATCTTTACTTTCTAGAGATCTCCTTGCTTGGTTTAGGATGCCTTGGATAATTTTGGTTTCATCAAGTTCTTTTAAGAGACTGGCAGGCACTGTTGGGATATCACACCAGGATCTCAGTGCAAATTGGACCTCTGTCTCTCATGTCTTGCAGTTCTCCGGTGAGAGTGCCGAGCGAATGAAGAAAACATATGGCAAATTCTGCGGGCATCACTGTGAGGCAGTAAATAACTTCAAAGATTTGTACTCAAAGGACAAGCGGTTTCAGGCATTTGTCAAGGTAGGACCTGGTAGAACAGATGTAGTCAATGGAAAAATTATGTCCTTTCTGCACTCTGCATTTTGCTACAGAACTGAAATTTTCATCTTTGTTCCTTAGAAAAAAATGAGCAGCTCCCTAGTGAGGCGTCTTGGGATTTCTGAATGTATCCTGTTGGTAACACAGAGAATCACAAAGTACCCAGTCCTTTTACAAAGGATACTGCAGTACACCAAAGGTAGGAACCAGTTCCTCTATTCTAAGTGTGAATTTGTTCCTCCAGTGTAAATTTCTTGGATCTTTTCAGCTGAAACAGATTTTCTTAGAATAGGCCAGCTAATCCAATCATTATTGGCTCACACCACTGTAATGAGATAACTCATTTTCATATCTCCAGTTAGGATTACTTATTTGGGTGCCTTGATTTAGTTGCTGTAAGTCTGTCTCTAGCTAATTATGGAGCAACATGCTTAGACTACAAAGACTCACAGCTTACTTTTTTTGGTAATGACTAAAATATGTGGTTAATTTGTGCATTTCATCTATACTGTCACATATATGAAGTGTATTGGAATAGTCCCCAACCTCAACTGTATATGCAAAAGGTTTTGTGAAACACTCCTTAAGCTTGAAAAATGCAACCAATCTCAGGAAATTATTGAATTTCTGAATTATTATTGTTATTATTGAAAGTATATTAAATTATTGAGGGTGAAGAAGAAGGAAGGAAATAAAATCAGGAAGTTAGACTCCACAAGGATGAAGTGAAATTGAGGTGTTTGTCTTTCTGTTCAAAGAAAATGAAGTGGAACATGAAGACTTGACTCAGTCATTAAACCTCGTTAAAGATTTGATTGCTGCAGTCAATAGCAAAGTCAGCAATTACGAAAAGAAAATGCGTCTTAATGAGATTTACAACCGGACGGATAGCAAGTCCATCATGAGGATGAAGAGTGGTCAGATGTTTGCAAGAGAGGACTTGAGGCATCGAAAGCTCATCCGAGATGGGCCTGTTTCACTGAAAAATGCAGCTGGCCGGTTAAAAGGTAAGAGTATCCTGCCGTCTGCAGGGGGAGAATACAGCTCAGCCTCTTTGGATATAAGACTAGTCCTCAGATTGGTGTCTCCAACTTTTTATGTATTATTTTGCTTTGAGAGATTTTGACAGGAGCTTTCCCTGTGCTGTACACTCACTTCCCATCGCAGCATTTCCAATTCCTCATGTTGTTTCTGGGGTGATAGGTAGCTGCTTTTCCTCCTGGCAATTCCACGCCTGCTGAAGTCTTGGGTGGTAGTGACATCTCAGTGCATCACACAAGGAGCAGAGTCACTGGGGGATCCTTTGGGCCAGAAGGACACGCTGGTGCTGCAGTTGCTGGGAGCAATGAGTCAGATCCCCGTGCCACGATGTGCATGTGCAGCAGTTCTAGGAAGTGGGCTCGCTGCATCCAAAAAAGAGGTGTCCCAGGCGTTCATTGCTCTTGAACCTCTTGAACTACTGACACAAACACTTCAGAAGAGACTCTGGTGTCCCTGCAGCTGCTTCTTACTTGGTTGGTGTTTTCTTGAATTACTCTTTTTTGTTATCAGGTGGAAATAGTTCTTCTAAGGTGCCATGCTCTGCTGACCACTGAAGTTCTCTACTGAGTTAAGCACTAAGTCTCCCAAGGAAGCCGTCAGCTGGGACCACAGTAGCAGTAAGAGCAGACAGGGCAGTGTTTCGGGCTCTGCAGGAAGGCTGGGCTTTCCTCCTTTTGCTCTCAGTATCAGCTGACTAAACCAGGGTACTTGGGCATGAATGGGGGCTGGTAGCCTGGAGCCGTGCTGTGCAGGGAGGCAGTGATAACACAAAACTCCATATTGGGTAGGATTTACTGTGAAGTTTTAGAAACAGGAAGTTTACAGGTGGTTTCTAGGCACCCAAGATTACTATTGACTTTAGATGGTGGATGAAGCAAGTTATACCACTGTTGTGAAATCCTGTGATAAGTACAGGCTGCATTTGCATTTGTAAATCATAGAAATGCATAAACATACCTCTGTCTGTAGTGCAAGCTCTCAGCAAAACCAGATCCTGCAGCCAAGCTGCAGAGCCCAAGGGGAGAGTAGCTAGTTCATACAATCAGGTTATTTTGCTAGATTTGAAGTGAAGCACAGAGAAGTGTAGCAAGAACTTTTCTTGGAGGTTTTTAGCATTTCCCCTTTTGCAAAGTGCACAGACAGTAGAGAAGAACAGAGTCAAATGCTGACTCTTGCAAAGCTCACAGATCTTTGAGTTCATTTTGCAGCTTTGCTCAAAGTGTAGTGGTTCTTTTATCTGGAATGGATCCTGTCTTCCCAAAACAGAATGGAAGGAATTACCCACGGGATGATTTAACTTTCTGGTTTGCTTCCTCTCTGTCACAAGTTTTCCCAAGTACATTACACAAAAACTCTTTGTACTGAGGGCTCTGGGTGGGGCATTATACTTGGTAGTTGCTGTGCAACTTTGCGATATGTCATTAGGAGACTTGGAAGGCTGGACGTGTACTCTGGGAAAAGGCTGCATTCTGATTTAAAATCCTGTTTTGGCTTGATGTTGTGCTTCCTTCTCCCATGAAAGAAAGCCAGGTCCTGCATCTCACGCAGGCTCTATTGGCTCCCCTTGGAGTCAGCAAGAGTTGTGTTTGTCTGTGAGCAGAATTAGTGGTGGCTCCTGAAGTCTGTATTTCCTGGGAAATAAACTGCAGCTGACAAATGTTGTTATTGCACGATAATTTACACTCTGCAAACCACTCATCAGGAGAACCATAAAACCCAAAACTTCCTGTGCAGATATTTTGCTTGAGGGCTAAAATATTGTTTGAGAAAACAGCGCTTCTATTCAGTAAGCATCTCTAGCTTTCGCTGTTATGCCCGTGTCCTAACTGTTAGAAAGCATGTGCCTGGAAAGAAGTGCCCCTTCTCTGACAGATGAGAGGAAATCCTGCAGGTTTCCCAGGTGCTGTTGTATTATGCAAAGTCAGTTCAGGGCTAATCTGACCCAGCATCTCCAGGCGCTGCCACTGCTCCTCCTGCTAACCAGGAGATTCACCCTGCTTCCAGGATTTGCAAAAAACATCCTTACCACTCCCCAGCACTTGTGTTATTAAAAGTGATATTTGGTTTGGGGTAGGTTGAGTGGTTATACTGCACTTTTCTTGCAGTAAAATATATATATATATGCTTTTTTCTTTTGCAGAAGTCCAGGCTGTTCTCCTCTCTGACATGCTCGTATTCCTTCAGGAGAAGGACCAGAAGTATGTCTTTGCCTCACTGGTAAGGCTTCAACCTTTTCTCCTGCTTCCTTTTCTACTTGAGAGACCCTTGATGTGTGTTGTGCAGTGAAGCCCACCATTGCCTGCTAAAACAATTTTCTTGCTTACGACATTTTCATTTGCTGAGCTGACTCCATTCTTTTTGATAGAAAAACGTGTCTTCATGCCCCACCTCCCCTTTCTGCACTGCCCTGGCATAGCTGATAATTGGCCTTGAAAACTTGCCTGTCACTTGATATACTTACTCCTTTTCAGTTTGTGCAGATTCAAGCAGTGCTTGAGGTGGGAGGGGGCAATGGGACAGTGCAAACATTGTAAAAATGAATTTTAGCAGAAGAAAATATCCTAATGCATTGTGAGCAGATGGGGGGGGGTGGAATGCCGCTTGCAGTAAATTCAAGAGAACACTTTGCAAATAAATGGTCAGAGGAATATATTCGTAATGGACAGGACCAAAAATATTAGCTTTTGAAAGCAGTCCTCCTAAAAGGGGGAGGCACACTGACCTGCTGAAGCAGGTAAACCTAATACCTGATTCAGTCTGTTGGGGCTGTACCTTGCAGGCATGGTCTAGACTGGCTAAACCTTGTCACTGTTCCACCCTTTGAACCTTTTGAGAGCTGATCATCTGTTATTCCAGTTCCACCAAAGATCTGCACAGACTCAGTGCCCTACACAGGGGAAGCTGATTTGCACACAAGTCCTGCTAATGAACTGCTACCAAATCACCCCAGTGTACCATCTTGTAAAATGCATAAAGGGGCTGACTCATATGCAGATGACACAAAAGCAAAGGGACATTTTAACCAAGCAGACTGATTACACAGAGACCATAGCACACAATGAACTGTCATCTTACACACAAGTCTTCTCCATCATAGGAGTCAACTGTGATCTTCTGAGAAGAGCATTGGTTTTGTGGGATTTGAAAAGAAGATGTTACTCCATTCCAGAGGCAGATCACAAAGATAATGTGTGAGAAGCAGGCGTTAGCAAGCTGCACAAGGTTTAAGGAGCTGTGATATTAATGACAGAGACAGTGTGGGCAGGAGAAGATGAGATAAAAGGTCTACTGGAGTTAGAACAAAACATGGTAGAGTTTGCAAAACCACGAAGTCAATTTTAAATTAATTCTTGGTTGAGATGTAACAAGTTAAAATTGCTTTTCCTACAGGGCTGATGGAGGAAAGCAAGCCCTTCCGAGTTTTTTGAATCCATTAAAATGATTTATTTTCTTAATTAGCTAGTAGGTTCAGGAAATGTTTACAACCTGAAAGAAGTAACAGTATGAATATTGGGACCTTTTTCCTGCTAGTTTCCATCTGGGAACTAGTACTGTTCACCCTCCTCACCGATTTTTTTTCCACGTAAAGGACCAGAAGTCCACTGTGATCTCTCTGAAGAAGTTGATCGTACGAGAAGTGGCTCATGAAGAGAAGGGTTTGTTCCTGATCAGTATGGGTGTAAAAGATCCCGAAATGGTGGAAGTCCACGCCAGCTCCAAAGAAGAGCGTAACGGCTGGATACAGATCATTCAAGACACAATGAACACCATGTAAGCTACCAAGCTGTTCTTGCAAGGCAGGTGGTGCACGTGGTCATGTTCTGGTAGTAATTGAGATCTGTCTCTTGTCCAGGGTTAAAGATGAAGACGAAGGAGTCCCTTGTGAGTCTGAGTTTGAAAAGAAAGTGTCGGATGCGAAAGTGAGAGCACTGAAAGGTAAAAACCTGTCTGGGACAGAGCTGGGGAGCGGTTTTTGAAAAAATTCAAAGGAAATGTTGGGGTTTGTGGTTAAATTATTACTTTTTTCAAAGGACAGAATCCTGTATCCAGCAAATAATTGCAGTCCTTGTTTGCACCTCACCTTGCTTTTGCATTATTTTTTTCTGAGCACGCTCGGTGCCATTGCTGTGCTGGATTGCACGGGGCGCAGTTGTATCATCAGGTTCCACTAGATGGGGCCAATATCTCATGAATCACTCAATTTTCTTACCGAAGCTTTTCTCTTCTGTCTTCATCGCTGTTTTCTGTTCACCCCCACAGAACAACTTCATCAGAAGGATAAGCAGATCCTCCTCTTGCTGGAGGAGAAAACTAAGATCTTCCGCGACATGGCAGACAGCTCTGTGCAGGAGGACATGCCAGGCTCCAGGTTGCTCTTCAGAGCCAACACAGAAGAGGCACCAAAAGGAGAGGCCATTATGAAAACTGCAATAAATGAAGGTGAGCAAGTCAGGGTGACACATTAATTACACTAATCAACACACCCACCTTCAGTGAAGCCATCAGTCCTCAAGCAGCAGTTTTGCAGGGGAAGTCTTCTCTGTCAGAACGACAGCATAGGTAAGGAGATATTGTGTTATTTGTGTTATTGTCTCGGGGACAGGTAATGAGGATCCGGAAAGGAAGCAGATAGTGATGGCTGTTGAAAGAGGGCAGAAAAGAAGTCAGCACAGAGAACAAGCGTGCGTTGAATCTGCACTGGGGTCAGGAGCAGCACAGGATTTATCCTTGGCTGAAATTTGGACCATCCAGGCTTTCGCTATGCCTTTAGTCTCTCAGCAAGGTGTGAGAAGGAGCCTCAGGTTCCAGCAGGCCCTTGTGGTGCCTGCAAGGGACAGGCAAGTCTGTTGACAAAGGCAAGAGTAGATGGAAACTCGGGCAACTTTCTGGTGTGATTTTTGGAAAGGCTAAAAATTATTCAATGCTGTTGTCAGAGCACACCAGGTTGCCTGGAGGAAGAGAGGGAGGTGTAAGCCTGTGCAGAGCTCCAGGAATTGGATTTAATGGTCAGGCAAGCTGTAGGGATGAAAATAGCTCAGAAGCCGGAAGTAGTCTTTAACCAGATATATCATTGCTTTTTATCAGTTGAACTGCTGCAAGACCTGGTGAACAGGAGCCTGGGCACTGCCCTTGGGCAGCAGGTCAGCAGCACTGCCATGGAACAAGAAGGAGGAGTTGGCCCCATCTCTCTCCCTAGAAGAGCAGAAACTTTTGGAGGATTTGACAGTCATCAGATGAATGCCTCCAAGTGTGAGTAGTTACGTATGTGCACATCAGCATTTGTTAGTAACACATAATGTCGTCGTGTCCTCTTGCTTCAGAAGGACTCCAGCAGCTGGTGATTTGGGTTTGCCAGCTCCTCTCCAATAATAGTTGATAGATTAAATAACAGATTAGAAAAAAAAAATGTGTACAGGTGAAATGATGGTTGTTGAGGTTGCATGGCTATGTGAGGATTAAACATCTGAACTCTTCACTCCTCCCTCTGTGTTCTCTCCAAATCCTCCTTACTTCTTTACTTACATGCCACATGAAAGCATTTGGCTTCTTAATAGATTAGTTTCTTCATGTTCTTATTGTAATATCTGCAGCTCTGTTCTTTGTTCTTCAGTTATCTTCCAGCAGGAACCTGGTGCTGTTGCATTTGCGAATGGATGAGGATGTTGCTGAATCAAGCACCTTCTCCCCTGGCTCTGCTCTCTACACATTTGTGTTCCCCATACAACTGCATGTGTTATTCCTGCAATTAAGTCTCTCCCAAACAAACGTGTGACTATTTATTTCAGCTGCATAGTTGGCTGCTTCCCAATGCTCTCCTTCTTTGCCCTAGTCATCAGAAACTTCCCTGTCCTCAAATTCCTTTCTCTGTGGTCTCACTCATACTCCCAGTACAGCCAGTTTTGCTGCGCTAGTGTCTGTCTCAGCGTTGGGATCGTTGGGCCTCGTCTGACCTTCTGCATTAAAGGAGCAGTGTTAGCTCCAGACAGTCAGACATGAGAAGTATGTAGAGGTTTTCCCAGCTCTACTGGAAAGCTGCAAAGCCCTCCACAAGCCTTGTCATCATAATGACAAATACGTTCATGCTGGAGGGGTTTATTTAGGGGTTGTGCCTCTCTCTTGCAGTGATGAGTGGGACAACCTCAGTGCCCAGCTCAAGGTTTCCTGTAGAAATGTCCTCTTTTGGATTAGATTGTTATTCAATAGTTGTAGGCTCTTGGGAGAATTTGGGAAAAGAATGCAGGGCCTGTTTGTTCAGCTGGAGGCCAGGAGGCATGAAACCTGGCTTTCATCTCCAGTTCTTCTGTTCACAACCTGTGCAATCTTGGGCAAGGGTTATAACCTGACTCCCCTTCGTTCTCCCCTCCAGCAAAGCAGAAGGGAGGTGTTTCCTCCTGCAAAGAGGTGGAAGGTCCCAGGACGTGGCGCAGAAGAGAAGGTCTGTTAGGAGGACTTGAGGGTCAGCTTTTAATAGCAAAGCCTACCTGGAGGGTGGTGGGAGGAGAGGGCCTTTTGCGCTAGGTACGGTGTCCTTGACATTGCTGCAGATACAGGTGTATGTAAAGTTGTTTATCATTAAAAGAATGTCAGTAGGGAGGTGTGGAGGTTCCCCATGGGCTGCATTTCAGCTGGCAAGGGGACTGCAGGAGTCTTGTCAAGAGCTGGAGAACCAAAGAGCCATGTGACTCCTTCACCACTGCCAGCAGAAGGGCAGCACAGGTGGAGGGCTGCAGCCCTCTTGGCCCCACAGGTTAGTTCAGTCCTGCTCAGGAGCACTGATAGGAGCCATCCAGGGGTAAGTTAGAAAGAAAAGTCCAGTGTCCCTTTGAAGATACAGGCTTCTGATAACTAAGACTAAGGAGAAATTGTTAGCATAAAATTACACAGGGTATTGCGCAGCAGTATCTGACCTAGCTGTAAATTGCATTTGAATAACAAAGGCATTGAAACTGTACCTGTAATAATATCCCCTGAGATGATACCGTTATTGTTCTCCATCTGCTCTTATTCTGCCTCCTGTCTTCTCAGCAAGTATTCTTTGGTAGTAGACAGCAGTGCGGGGGCTAGACAGAGCACCAATTAATAGGAGGGTGCCAAATTTATCAGCACGTTGTCTGAAACCAAAGTCAATCCTAATCTGAATTCAGCTCCACTTTTCCTGATGCTGCTGCCATGTTCTGTATACATAGAGAGCAAATGTATTTAGTTAAAGTGTCAAGAGCTCTGTGTCTTGTGAGACATCGGAGTTTCCTGTATTAAATTTCTCAGACATTAGCAACTTCGTCTATGGCTTAAAATGTTGAATAACCAGTGTCAATGCTGGCTTCTTCCTTTAGGTGGAGCGAAAGATGAAGGTGACGATGCTCAGGACCTTCGGAGAACAGAGTCGGACAGCATTTTAAAGAAGGTATCGCTTGGTTTATCTATCTGCTGCCACTGAGTTCAGATTTCAAGAGAGTGACAAGTTTTGAACAATTTCTTGACAATTAGATATATCCTAATAAGTTAAAATAAAATTGAAAGTATGCAGCCAGAAACACTTTGCTGTAGCTAAAATCCTGACTTGAAAACTGACTGCAAATTAGTAGTATTCCTTTGTGGCACAGGTTATCTGCCATCTGTCTGCAGATCAGCTAAAGCATGTGTTTAATTATGCATCGTTATTGAAATGATAAGGTCAGTTATAACCTTGCACCTAATTTTGCTCTGAATTGATCCATCATATAACTAAAAAATGATACCTAATTAACATTTTATTTCATAAGATTTTAACTTGCCTAAAAAACATGCATGAATTCTCCCAGAATGGAAGATGGAGGGTGTTTAATGGTGTCTATCATTAGTTCAGCTTCAGAATACATTGGCTGTGATTTCTCATTTGTCCTCATGTTAAATCTGTGATCTTTTCATAGGGTGGAAATGCTAATCTGATGTTCATGTTGAAAAGGAATAACGAGGTAAGAATTGATTCTGTTGCTCATCTGTTTCCTTCATTTAAGTGGCAAGTGAATTTATCTCAATAGGTGATAATGTAGAAGAAAATACATTTCATTTGCTGAAGCACGTGTAGACTTTTAAATACATTAAGCTGAACCCACTGTGTCATTTATTTGTTTAACCTTGGGCGTTCAGACAGGGAATTCACTGATTGTCATCTGCTTGCCAGCATGATGATATCTGCTGATTATAGGCAGCAAGGGTTAATTACTGCTAGGATGCACAGGGCTGTATTTATTGTGCATCTGCAGACAGAGGGAGTTTAATTTTATGTTGCAGGTGCAGTGAATTGGGGCAATTAGATTTCTATTCTCCCTTTGATACACATTCATAACTCCCAATTAGCATTAATAGCAGAATGAGAAGCAGTTCTTTTAATACTGGCTATCACACCACTATTGCAAATACTGCAGTGGTTTTTCTTCTTAAAAGTAATTGTAGGATATGAGAGATTCCAATAAATTTTTTGCTAGGCTAAAAAATTAATTTAAGTTTAGGGCGTCGCTCCAAAGTAGCTTGCTCTGTATTGATGGCATGATGCGTTCATATTTACCTGGATTTTCAGAGAGCCTCCATGAACACACCTGCTGTACTTCTGTGCCTGCTGTATTGCAGTTTTTCTGTCTAATGATAGTGTGACCTGTATGGGTCAGCCGGGGGTAGAAGAGTGCAAATATTCCATATTCATTTTAAGATTTCTTCTTTTTTTGCCCCTTGAAGTTCTTTCCCTGAACTCTTAAGTGAACAGACAGGTCTTATCCCAATTACTGTGCTTGTTCTTGAGCGAGCTGATTCTGTGGGAAATGGTTTCCAGGGACAACCCGGGAGTTCCCATGAGGTCTGTGCCATTAGGTGCTCCTGCAGATGTTTCCTTCCCTGCTGCACTGACAGCTGGTAAAGTGAGGAAGATGATGCCAGGTGATGTCCAAGGGATGTGTTGGTGTACGGGGGGATGATGCAGTCATCTCAAGTGAAGAGTGAAAAGAATGAAGGTGTAGAGGGATGGTCATACAGCTTGTCAGACCCACTGGTGGGTCACAGTGGAGAAGGGTGCTTTACATGTACCCTGGTAGCCAGTGAGATCTAATAGCAATGCTTTTGTTTTCTCGCAGCAGGTCCTCCAAACCATTACCAGCCTCCATAAGCTGCTCAGTGCTTTGCAGGTAGGCTTGGCAGTTCATCCCGCTTTTGCATGCCGCTTCCCCAAACTGTGCATCCTGCCAGGCAGTAACAGCCACTCATGCTTCGCAACCCATCTCCCCCTTCCCCTTTGCTTGTGACATCCCTGTGTGGCTGATTATGCCATGGCCAGCTCGCAGGCAGCTTGCCAGCAGGTCATAGGAATGGACTGCTGTCGAAGTGAACCAGTGCTCACCTGAATTTGGGAAGCTGCTGGTGGGAAGATGGTCTGCCAGCATCCTCTGGTAGCCCAGCTGTAAGGCAGCAGTGCTGAGCCGTGAACTTGGTGGGGGAAGAAGGGGTTCATTACAGCACCCTGAGGTTTTCAGGCATGGAGCCTCTCTCTCCATGGAGAGGGCACTGCAATGATTTGTGTCCCCTCTCTCCCAGGGCGTCGTGCTGCAACAGGACACCTACATCGAGGACCAAAAGCTAGCTCTGAGTGAGAGGGCTCTGTCCCGAAGCTTCTTCCGGCCAACATCGCTGCTGGAGCAGGAGAAGCAGCGCAACCTGGAGAAGCAGCGCCAGGAGTTGGCCAACCTGAAGAAGCAGCAGACACAGCACCAGGAGGAGAGGAGGAAGAGAGAGAAGGAGTGGGAAGTCCGGGAGAAGGAGTTGGCAGAGCAGGAGGCCCAGCTGGCCCAGCGAGAGGAGCAGGTCCAGAAAGGGTGGCAGGACCTCGAGAGGGAGCGAGAGGAGCTGCAGGTGAAGAAGGCCTCCTACCAGCTCGACCTGGAGAGGCTTCGCACGGCACAGAAGCAGCTGGAGAGGGAGAAGGCACAGTTCAAGCAAGATGTGGAGCGATTGGCTCAAATGCGGCAGGAGGCTGAGCACAACCAGGTAAAGGCTGCGGATGGCTGAGCTGCTGCGTAAGCCATGCCCTGCAGGGAGCTCCCAGATGGTCCTGGGTCAGCTGCATGCTGGCAGTGATAAACTGACACCAGGCCAGCCCTAGACATGCGGGGCCTCGTATTTAAAACTAGCTCTTTCCTTGCACATGATGTGCAGGGCTGCCTTTGTGGCACCTCCAGAGCTGCTGAGGCATTGCCAGTGTTGATGCAACACAGTGTATTCAGGCTGCCTGGCCAGTGCTGAGCCGTGGGTGGTTACAGCAGCCTGAGCTCTGCTGGCTTGTCTGTGCTTTGTGTTGGCAGACAGCAGAGCAGAGGTGGCTGGCTTGCAGAGAAGGTGCTCTAGGCAGTCCCAGGAGGTCAATACTGGCTTTGACATTGGCTTTCATCCCATGGGTGCTGAGGTCTGGGGAGCAATCAGGCAGATGGGACATCCTTCTCGAAAACAGCCTGAGTGCTCTGGGTTACCTGCACCCTCCAGCTGTCACAAAAGCCACTTGTGAGGCTGATAACTGCAGGGGAAGGCTGTTTGTACACTTGCATCCATCTCCAAAAGCATTCTTGATATCTAGCAGAGAGATGGGCATTGTCCTCATCCTAAAGAGACTGGGAACCTGCAGTCGAGTCATGGCTCAATGAGCAAAGGTCCCTGGCTCTGCTGCAAGAGGCTTTTGCTGTCTGGCTGCCCACAAACAGAGAGAAAAGTCCACACGCAGAGCCTGCTCTGCACATTTTTCAGCAAGCTGGGGTTTATTTTTTTATAACTGTGCAGCAGTCTGGCTGAGGAGAGCAAGCATCTGTTGGCAAAACATGGGCTGAATTTGAACCGTAAGCCTGTTGTTGATTGTTTGCTTGTTTGTAACTCACTAATTCTGAATGTAATTTGCTTAGAGCTGTAGCAGAATTAGTTTGTAAATGTTGGATTGCGGAGTGGAAATGATTTTGGGTGCCTGAATGGACTAATTGCGGAGCTCAGCAGTGAGCTCTGAAAAGCAAATCATCGGAGGAGGGTTTGCTCCCTCCCACCCTGGTTCCTGATCAGGCCAGAAATTTTCCAAGCACACAGCAAAGCTGTTCCAGCATCCAGCACACGTAGACATGCGAGGGGACAAGGATGCTGTGGGAGAGGCTGAGAGGTAAAATAACTGTGAGGCCTGGGGGATCAGGAGAAGGAAGCACCTTTTCAAGGCAGGTATCCTACTGACATTTCAGAGCTATTAATAGAGGGTTCGGCAAGGCTTTGTTGAGCTGTTGTTTTGATCTTCCCTTTGAATGCACGGGCCTCAATTACATCCTGAGACAGCCGTTAGGAAAAAAGAAACAACCTGGAAAAATGTTTTTGCTTTCATCTTTTGCTTGGGAAGGCTTCCTTTGACAAATGCCGCTCCAGTGCTATGTGCTGGCGTTCCCCTGCCGCAGAGGCACGCTTCTCGTTGGCCTTCTGCCACTATCTGTGTGTGCAAACGGTGCAGGGTGAGTCTTGGTATCGAGATCTTAGAGAATATTTGCCCTTGGCTTGTTGATACATAGCATAGTACATGTATAAGCAAAAGATACTGGAGCGTTACTCTTTATATGCCTCGTTTCCTCGTCTGAAATGGAGAGCGCTGCTTCTCTCGTTGTTTTGCTTGGATGGGGACCGCTTTTTAGTTGGTGAATGGGCTGGATGTTCCCAAGAACAACTGCTGTCTCTGTCAGTGGTCTGGGAAATATGCTTCCTATCCAGCTCCAATGAAAAACTTTTCCTTTATAGGTTTCAAATCTACATGAGAAACTTGCAAGAGTCTCTTCGCAATCCAGCATCGACGACTCCTCCAAGCAGAAGAGCCCTTCCCTTCCTAAACAAGGGCACTTTGATGCAGAACTGTCTGTCTCCCCAAAAAGGAACAGTCTTTCAAGGACACACAAAGAGAAAAGCACTTTCCATTTGCTTAGCACAACAAACCAGACTAACAAGGTGGCTGAGGAACAGCCCCAGATGCCTACCCGCCTCTTCAGTTTAGCCAAACCAAAGGAAAAGAAGGAAAAGAAGAAAAAGGGCAGGGGACATCGCTCCCAACAGTCTGGTGAGTGTCAGGGGTGGTCATAGGTGTGTTTTTGGGGTTGATGAGCTGGCTTGTCCCTCCAGCCAACAAGCTGGTGGAAGCCACAAATTCTAGGCTTGAATGTAGATGGCAACACTTGAGGAATGAAGATCAGCTGTGATGAGTGGAGTTCCCAGCTTGAAGTGATCTTCTCTGTGGGCTTTTCTGCCTGTTCTGCAGCCCCGGGGTTATCAGAGGGACACACTCTGCTCCTTGCTCCTTCCCTTTCCTGTCCCATCCTGAGCAGCCGCCACAGGTTGGGTTCTCCCTGTATTTTTCAGCTTGCTCTGCTTTGAGAAAGAGAATGTCCTCCTTCAGTCTATGTGCTTTCAGGGACTGCTGCTGGGATGCCCCTGGCTGTTGCACCCCTGCAGCATTGCTGTCTGCTTTAACTCTGTTGTAGTTTGGAAGTGATACCCACAACCCTTCTGGTGACCTCTCCCTTCCCTTTGAGCTGGTCTGTCTTGTCTCTTGATCTGGGAAAAAAAAAAAAGGCATTTTTTTTCTCTGGTAGTTTTGCATTCCCTTGGGACTCAGTTCTGCACTACAAACTTTGACCCACATTAAATTTGATCTCACGCAGTCAGATGACCGGCTTACCCGTGTTAACTCACTGATGTTTTCTAACTTGTGCACAGGAAAGCTCAGCAATTATGGGATGTAATGTCATGGTAGCTCAACAGGGAACTGGACATCTTGTAAAGGTGCCCAGTGGATTTGGCAGAGGGGTTTCCATGCACGTGAAGCCCTGCTCTGCCTGCTGTATTCCCATAGTGATCCCCACCTGGTTTTTATGTGCTGCAGATTCTCACTCGTCAGAAGCACCTCCAGAGGGTGAGGAGATCTTCTGCTGAGCACGGATGATTCCATCGGTCACTCTCGGCATTGGTACAGTGGACATCTGCCTGCCCGCTCCGCAGCACGCTGCTGGTGCCTGCGTCTGACAAGCATCTGGAGGTTTTAAATAAAACGTGTTATGAAGTCTGTTAAGTGATGGGAAAGGGCCTCTCTCCTGTGGTTTTGCATGAGTTCTCACCGCAGAGGCTGACTGCACGGCAAATAGTACTGTGTCTCTGCGCAAACCTGGCGTTAAATGGACTGAGATTGATGTTTTCTGTCTCTTCTTACTGCTAAAGGATGAGAGAACATAGCCTTAAGGGGTCTGTGCCTTCAAATTCCCCTTTTTGGGGAACATAACCAAAACCAAGCATTTAGCAAAAGATTAGGACTCTACAAATGGTGCGTGCACTCTGGCATATATAGATACATTGTATATATACATATATGTATCTGTGTATCCACTGGGATATGCTTACAGTCTGTACAGCCAAGCTTAGCTCGGCCTGTGGGGATAGATGATACCTGATGACTTTCAGGGAGCATGTAGATATTAAATATCTTGCCCTTACTGCTCCAATGGTAACACTGTTGACTTGCACACCCCTTTTGTGCTCATGTTATATGGACTGTTTGGTTTCAGAAAGTTACCTTACACCAGGAAGCAGTAATGGCGTTCAAAAAAAAAAATTCAGAGGAAAAAAAAATTTAAAGTAATTCCAAAAGATTTCCACGGGGCAGAGGATTTAAATGTCAGACTGTTTCCGGAATTAAGCAGAATATCTTTGGGTGTATTCAAAAACGATGCAGAAAAGAGAAGTTCAGTAGGCTTGTAAGGCAACCCCAGGGAGCCAGAACAGACAGTGTTCAGGTGGGAACAACTCTAAGCAACTTTTTTTTTTTTTTTTTTTTACACAATCTCTTTGAGCTCCAGCTCACTCCTTCCCTTTCCCTAAGTGAAAATTTGGGGTTTTTGCCAGAATATAGTTGTCCAGTTGCATTTGACATCCCTTCATTACAAGCCTGATGACTTGCTGGAGAGATGGCTGAAAACCTGATTTTAGGGAACTTTGTTCTGTTGTTTGTTTTTTTTCTTCCCCCACTTTTTATGTTACTGTTGGGCTTGTGTTTCTCTGGATTCTGTCAGCTTCCCTTGCTCGTTTCTGAGGCAGAATGAGACAACAGGAATTTCAGAGCATTTCTGTGAGACATTGCAGGTCAGGGGACTGAGTGCAGTGAGCAGAGAGAACTCCAAAGAGGCAGCTCCTAGTCCCTGCGCCTATACAATACCGTGCACTTATTAACCATTTCTGGGGAGAAAATACATTCTCCTGGACAAAAACACTGTGGGACCGGTCCAAAGGTCCAGTGTGGCAGGGCTGTTTTCATAATACATTCTCCTGGACAAAAACACTGTGGGACCGGTCCAAAGGTCCAGTGTGGCAGGTCTGTTTCCATGGCCATGGGCTCTAGGGTGAGAGTATCCGTGTGTCCCTGCGTTGCCGTCAGCAGGAGGGGAAGGTGGCTCTGGCTCTGCTGCCTGTGAGGTGTTTGTACAGCTGTTGAATAGAGGGATGTGTTCAGTGGGGGGGAAAGAAATGCAGCAAGCCAAACTTTTTTCCAGAATTACTGTTCTTCCAGACCCTCTCAGGGGAATTGCCCGAGCGGATTTGTACATGGTTACGAGACTGTATCATCTTCAAAATAGCTGAAGGGTTTGCTCAGAGTTTGAAGCTGTCAAGTGCATTTCCTTTCCTACCAGGTTTTCTTTAAAAAAAAAAAAATAATCTTCTTGCACTATTGTTTGATTTCAGTTTGCTCTCTGGCTTCTCACAAGCTAGTAACCTGCAGCAGTTTTCAGAGTTCGGTGCTGATGAATTTCAGCAGCATTGATGGTGAGGTGGATGCTTAGACTGGTCTGTCTTGGTCCGTACAGAAATCCTAAGCCGCCTGCTTGCTTTTGAAGCTCTCTAAACTATTAAAACTCAGAAGGAGGAAAAAAGAAAAAAAAAAAAAAAGAAGAAGAAGAAAGGAAAAAGGTTAGATTTATTTTTGTTTTGGGTTTTTTTTAATATTATTTGGTGCTTGTTCCTAATTGCAAGCAGGGCTTGCAGAAGATATTTATCTTTCTGTTTATTTGAAAGAGTTCTTTTTTTAAAAGACGTTTACTTGGTTTTATTTTTTTATTTCTTTTTACTTTTTATTTTGCTTTTGTTTGAGGGCTTTAGGGGTGATTTGGTGTTTTTTCTTTCCTTTTTTTTTTTTTTTTTTCTTACCAAGAGATTGGTAAACCAAATGTTCTTATCTCCCTGGTTCCTACAAAATCAGGGTTTGGGCAGTGCTGCTTAGCAGCCCATGCCATGCCTAGAGTTATGCAATTTCAACTGAGAGCTTTCTTTAAGGCCAAAAATGTCTGGAAAAAGAAGCAGTGACTTCAGACAAGACTCCTCCTATCAGTTTGTTTCCTTGTTTAAATATTTTGTTTAGATTTTCTCATACCTTTTGGAGGGAAAGGAAAAAGCAAAACATGGAGCCTCTTGCAGTGATGTGAGGGTTTGGGTCGCTTTTCCAGGGAGATACAGGCACTCTTCTGAACCTGAAAGGAGCTGAGGGAGGCATGAGCTGGTGTTGTGGTGTTACCTTTTTCATAAGAAAAACACAGATTTCACAAAATAATTTCTGCCCTGCTATTTGTAAATCTGCAAAAATGAATAGGCCAAGCAGGAATTTTTGGAAACCAAAGCAGTGCATGGCTCATTTACTGTTGTGTAAACAGAGATCAGGTCCCTGGTATTTCTGAAAGTTCCCCTCGATCTGTAATAGCCTTTGCCAGCATGAACTTTTCTTTTCATCCCACTGTCTTTTCTCCACTCCCAACACATCTTGCATTCGTGACACGGGAATGTCCCATGGCTCTGAGAAAGGCATCAAGAGGCAGACGCGTGACCCAGGGCCGCAGGGCTGAGCCTCTGCCTGGCTCAAGCATCTCTTCTGACCTGTGCAAATCAAAAAGAGCATTTGGTGCCCTGAACAAAATAGTATTTGCTCAGTGATCTCCTAAGGTCCCCATGGTTCCTTGTCAAACAAACCGTGGGTGTGAGAAATACACTGACCAGAAATACAGCATATCAAAGTTGTTTGTGTCTTAAATTCTGATGGACAGACCTTTGTCCCTGGAGGATGTATGTTACTGTATGATTCACTTTTTTGGAATGAAGCCTTTACTCCCACACTGCTTCCTCCTTCTTTCGGCTTTAGGAAGGTGAGGGCTTGTTTTTACCTCTTTAGCCTTTTATTTTTCCCCTCTCAGGTTTTCTTTGGAAGGGCTTGGCATAGGTTCCCAGCGTCTGATTTCCCCCTCTGATCCCTGCAGGTTGCCTAGGATTGTCTGCTGGAGTGCAGTCCCAGCTTTATAGCACCAAAGCCTTTCCTGGCCTTAAAATTGTGTTTGTTCGGTTCCACGGCTGGCATCCATCCTGCAGTTGTTAAAAGCATGTTATTTCTTCAGCCCAGCCTGATGCTTTATCTGGTTCCCAGAGCCAGTCCCTTGATCCAGCTTGGAGCACCCAAACCATCCCGTTCTGCACTGGGTTTCTGGGACATGGAGCAGGTTCAAAAACGTCTGTGCAAAGCCCGTATTGTTGGAGGGAGAAGAGGACCCCGCAGGGGCTCTCAAAGCTTTTTTTTGCTAGTGTTTCATGGAGGGGAAAAATCAGCCTTTCTTTTCTTGGGCTTTTCTTTGCCTGGTCTTTATCCCTGCCCAACAGAAGGGGTTTCAGTGATCAGGGAAGTGGAAGCGCAGGCTCAGATGAAGTACAAAAGTGGTCAGTATTAGCTGAGGGTGCCAGAATACCCCAGAGATAGAGAGCAGCTGTAGCAAATGGTGTGAAACTCGATGGAGTTGTGTGGGGTTGGCCTTAGCTTCTTTTAAATGAAGTGATCATCTCAACATGTAACTTGATGTCAGTGTGATGCCATAAAGCACTTTAAATGGAACTGGTCTTGTCCCTTTTCATTTTGGTTATGTGGAGACAATCAGCTTTACCGTTGCTTCCCCCTCTGTATCCCCACCAAAATCCAAGCTGCAAGTAAGCATATTCCTGGTGTGGTTTGGCTTTACCCTGGGAGGGAAGCAAGGGCCAAGCTTTTGGTATTATTTTTAGACCAAAGTGGGTGTGAATCTGACTACAGTCCCACTGCACACAGGGTGAGCAGCAGGACCAGAGAACTGGCTTCCGATGGCTCACATCCATCCCCTGGGAGAGCCCATGCCAGCGTCACCATCACCTTCCTCACAGCGGGTACCCACCAGTGGTTTGCCCTCCATCTCCTTTTCCTTGGAGAAACCCAGAGCAAAGGAGATGTGGGGCGATGCAACCAAATAAGTGAAGCGAGGCCCTTTCCCTGCACTAAGTTATTTACTGTCCAGGCCATTGGGAGACCTCCCAGGTGCCATCCTTGGGGCAGGAGCTCTCACCACCACGGAGGGTGGACTCTTCTCTTTACTCTTGAAGTTTCACTGCTGCTGAGAAGCAGTCATGCCATTAGCCTGTGTGGATTTGTACTGCCTTTCGAAGGCAAGAGCATCCATAGAGTCTGATCATCTTTGCACCTGCCTTGAGGCACTAGGATATCTCAAAGCTGTTGCTGAAACACCCAAATCCAGTCCTTCCAAATGCCGCCCAATCAAAAGAGGCTCATCAGGTGCCAAATCCCAAGGAAGCTGTCTAGGATATCTGTGGCAAGGGAGGACTGGGCAGGGGCCACAGGAGAGCATCTGCTAAAATCCCACAAAACATTCCGTGTTAACCAGAACTCTGGAAATTATTCTGCCTGCTGGCCAGGTTTGGGAATTTAACATAATTTAAGGCACTCTTTTAAATAAAAAAACCTCCCTTGCTGCTCATAACTCTTTGCTTCATTTGTCAGAAGGGGCAGCAATCCATGATTCTGATCTGGTGATGCAGCTAAGTTTTAAAGATAGGCAAGCTGAACTGGCTTCATCTCGTACACCTCGCGCTCTTGAGCAATGGGAAGCGTAACGCTAGCTCCCTTCCCACCTGCGTTTTCAGGGCTCGGTGCCCTTTCTTTCCACACGCATTTCACTGACACTGATGCTTTGCCCAAATATATTCAGCTTCCGTTGCTTGGGGGGAGGGGGGAACAGGATGACATTCACTGCTTTGCATACAGCTATAAGCTTTGTATGTATTTAAGCTGTCCGTAGGTATCCATCCTTTCCATGCTCTAAAGTATTTTACTATTTTCTTTATCGATATTAAACACTGAATCAAAAAAAAAAAAATCTATGTCCAGTTCAGTTCGCCTATGGTTAAAGTTTAGCTTGATGTTTATTTTGTACTAATGTGGAATGCACTTGAGTAATTCCCAGAGCGTTGAGGAGGTGTATTATAATAACCTGATATACCTCTGCTTTTGGTTTGTTTCTAAAAAAAAAAAAAAAAAAAAAAAAAAATGCTTTGCATTTTCATGTTGAACCCTTTAAAAAAAAATTTTAAAAAAATAGAAGTTGAAAAAAAGAATTTTTAAAAAAGAGGGTAAAACCTAATTGCTGTATGTTAATTTGTAATTATGTAAAAAGTGAGCAGGTTATTGACTG